TATGTATGTAAATACTAGTTATTTAAATTAGTCATTAACCTACTATTGGACACTAGATAAATCACCATTAGAAATAATGCCGTGATAACCATACTTATATTTTTGAAGATGGGGATCCCAGGTCCCAATGTATAAATGTTTACGAAGACAGTTGATTAATCTTCACCAATTGCTTTCCAGAAAGGTTGATGCAACTCACACTCCCACCAACAGTACCTCAGAATACCCATCTCACAGAATCTTCTTCATTTTTAATCTTTTCCAATTTTATAAGTCAAAAATTATATCATATTTTAAGTTGTACTTCTTTGATTATTAAGGAAGATGTATATAATACAAAATTTATGTTTTTCTGATAATAAAAGTAATATATACCTTACTCTAAAAACTTCAAAGATATTACAATTATAAGAGAGATAGTAATCATGCATTGGAGATAACCGTTAGCATTTTTGTCTGACGATCATTCTGAAATGTATATTGACCTTTTGTACTATGTGTGCATGTGTGTGAATCATGTGTTCCTGCCTTTGTTCGTTTTTCTCTTGGGGGATTGTTATTTTTTAATTGAATTCTAAGACCTATTAAAGAATATCAACCCATTGTCTGTCATATTTGTTACAAATATTTATTCTAATTTGTTATTTACTTTTTAAATATTGTCTTTTGATGTCCAGAAGGTTTTATTTTGCACAGTCAAATCTATCAAATTTTTTCTTTGAATCTTGTATCCATTGCTTTTATGTTCAGAATCTTTTCCCATATCCAAATGCCAGTAAATAGTCACACATATTTTTATACTTTTTCACAATTTAATTTTTTCATTTAACTCTTCAAGTGTCTATAAGTTTTAGTTGTCAATAGCACTTAAAATAGGAGTTTCAGTTGCTAATTTTCCTATCTTCCCTATTATCCTAGAAGTTCCTTCAGGCAAGAAGCATTTCTTCTCCAGCTTTGTATCTCAAATATCTACCATGGGGGTCTCGCACCTTGTTTTCCATATATATTCTTGAACAATGACTATAATTATTAAAACAATTATACTGCCCATACAATACCCTTACCTTTTAAAGGTCTTTGAGTCTAAGACCTGACCTTGTGATTTCTTTTTGGATTTTGCCTGCTTTAGTCCAAAATCATCACTATTTACTGTGAATCTATTCACAAAACCACCATCATCCCCCAAGATGATGTCGTCTCGGCAAAGGTGGTCGGGCAGAGACACCACACACACACACAGGAGGCAGTGATCCATAGGCTTTATGACAAAATAGTTGTCCTAGAAACAGAAGAATGCTTTCAATGAATTATTACCTTGCTCTATTTAATAAAAGTTGCTCCTATTATTTGATAAAAGTTTTACTTTCTGATGTTTCTCATTTTAGATAGCCCTACAGTGATTTAAAAAACTTGAAAAGAACAGTCAACTAAGTAGAAGTTAATGAAACTCACTTTGAGTCCAACATTATGCTTTTGGTTGTTTTGTGGGGAAAAGGGGTAGAGTATCCATCTTTGCCTCAATAAGGAATGAGATTTTGTGATATATTATTGTAAATGGCCCTCTCTTACATTTGTAAGAAAATATTAAAGTAAGCATAAAAAGATTCAGGTGTTACCAGGTTCAGGGTGGTAAACAGGAAAATGAAATATCAAAGTCTCAATTATGTTACAAGGAGTCATCAGGAGAAAAAATATCCTAACATCTAAGTTTATCCAGGAATATTCAGCAAGCATTTGTTAAGCCAATTTTGCACTATTGAATGAGTTCATTAAGCTATACAGCTATTGTTCTTGTGGAATTCAGTCTCTACAAATTTATTCAATCAACCAAAAAATATTTATTGAGCACCTACTATGTGTCAACAACTAGTCCAGGCACGACTGTACAATGAATGATGATTAAGACAAAGTTTCTAACTTTGTGGAGCTACCATTCTAGTGGAGGGAAGACAGATGAGTGAAAATAGATCATTTCAGGTAACAGAAGTGAACTTAAGGACATAAATTATAGAGCTATGACACAGAGTGACTGAAGAGACCACTTTAGGTCCCATGGTCAGGGAGAATGACCTTTGATCTGAGACCTTAATTGATTGAGAGGTAGATTAAGAGGAGGTTGAGAGGAAGGATCCTAGAAGGAGAGAGTAATGTCCAAAGAGAGAGAGGGAAGAGGCTATAGAGCCTTATGCTGGCCAAGACAAGAGGGGCTGGGGCTGTCAGAAGCAAGGATATTTTGTCTTCAGGGAGAGGAAGGAAGAAAGGAAGGAAGTAGGGATGTGTTTCCAGTTAAAGCTGTAGGTGGAGGGCTGGAATTTTGAAGAAGACAAGTCTGACAGTAGACTCAGTTTTCTGGGGAAAATAAGGGCAAGTCCATCTGCTGGAGGGAGAGGGCTTGGGAAGAATACTGAAATTTTGGATTACTTGCAAGGAGTGGGAGAGTGAGTTGGCAAGGAGAAGAAAGATTGACAGAAGCTCAGCCAAGTCTGCAGACGTTGATGCCAAATAGCATGGTTATGTTTTTCTCCAGCAGCGCTTAGCCACCGTGGAGGAGCAGAGAAAGGCTGGAGCATCTATCCAGGTTGAAAGTCAGAGATTGAAGAGTGTGGGGGTGAGGCTGACCAGCTCAGATGACACACCCAGGGAATGCAGGCTGGAAGGGAAGAAGTGAACAGTGAGGGGACTGAAGACTGTAAGAAGATACAGGAACTGAGGGCTTCTGTGTATGGGATTGAAAAGCAAGAGTGAAAACAGCAGAGAGCTAAAAGGAGAAGAGTTTACATTCAAAGTCCAGGACTTTGGAGTTTAGGGTTTTGGAAATTAATATCACCTGGTCTATAATTGTATGCAACAGTAACACACCACATAATAAAGTACACTAAGCAACAAGCTGCCTTCTTCAAAATTATTCTGGCATCACTAGTTGTTTACAACACTGTGCACAAATAGCGCAAGAAGTTTAGTTTTTCACAAGGCAAGGAACAAGCAAGGCATGGAGGAAGGTTAAATTATTTCTTAATCTTCATGTCCTTCAAAGTCAGCCTGCTTCCTGAAGACTTTTTTATACCCCCTATGCTCAGTGATCTCAACTCTCCCTGAACCCCTATTGTACTTGTTCCTTTTTACCATATAATTTTCTGGACCTATACTATATATTGTGTTTATTCAAAAGATCCTTCAAGACTGAGTTTTGTTTGAGTGCAGAGAACATGTTCATTACTTCTAAATGGCTGCAAATGCTCAATTAAATACTATAGATTGGTTAAGTGGTGACATCTCAGCCACTTAAGAACTGCCTCATTAGGTTTTTTTTTGCCAGAATTAGGCATTTGATTTTAGTAATTTTCTTACCTAATGAAGCTGGACTTGAGAGAAAGGATTTGAACTTCTTAACACGGGTATAACCAGAAATATAATACTTGGATTCAGAAAAGGGGATAAAAGAAGAAAGGAATTAGCCCCTCTCTCACTCTGGAAAACAGACAAACAAAAAAAACCCAAAAGCCCCAAATTGAATACACACTAAATGAAAAAAAAAAAAAAAGAAAAGAAAAAAAGAATAAATATACACTTAATGGAAAGAACATTTTCTTTTAATTATGGAACATTAATGCTGACTTTGATCTAAGGGATTATTTACTTAAACCCTCTCATTTCACATATGAAGAGACTGGCATTCAGTAGTGAAAGTGGATTCTCATATCCTACCAGGACTAAAAAGACAATCTTGTTTCTTTGAGTATTTCTCTTGGTACAGTACCTGGCTGCTTCCTTGAGCTTTATAATCCCAGACAATAATGGTCCTTTCTGTAGTGGCAACGATCCGTTTAAGCTGTGACAGGTAGTCACATCCTGTAATCCAGGAGGTGTCCTAATAGAAAAGCACAGCGTTGGAGGATCTAATGCATTTCCTTCTGCGACATGGTGATGGTTACTAGTGAGTAGCTTAGTTATATGAAAAGCCCCATTTTGCTGCCTTATTTACAGAGGAGCCCCACAGCGCATCCCGTTTGAGGGTGTTGAGTGGGAGGTTCCCATTTTCCCACTTTCACCCTTACCTGAGTTTCTCAGTACCATCATCTGGAGAGTGATTCAACTAGAGCCGAAACTGCTCCCTGGAAGTGCATGGCGGCTGGCCAGGCATCTTTGTGCACTACTCACTGCTGTGAGACTACTTTTCACAGGAGCACAGGGAGACTAGATTTAGGTCACTGACTGAGCAAGCTCTCTGGCCCTGTCCCCATGCTAAAATTTTTAGCTAGAAAAGATCTTAGTGAGTACCTGGTCAATGATAAGTTGAAGTCAATGAATTTGTCTTGTGTCTTGCCTAAAGACACCAAGCTAGCACGGCTAGGATCTCCCATTTATGACTGCTATATGCATTTCAGGCGTGTCTTTGAATCTTCTGTAAAACCTATTAGAAATTCTAATGGGTTTTTTTCAGTTTAAGAAATGGAGGCGTTGAGGTTTAAAGAGAACCCAAATTCCTTTGCCAGGCAGCGTGGCACCCCGCTTTGCAGTTCAGTGTGCTCAGTGCATGCAAGCGGGGTGAAAAAGGCAAGCATTACCCTGTCTCATAAATCCATGGTGGGATTCTGCAGAAAAGTCACTGTAGCTTTACAGCATCTGCTGCAAGGTTACTCTTCCAATTAGCAATATAAGTTAAATGAATTACAAAATGGTGCTAGAATTTTTAATGCTGCTTTCAAGTTTAAAATAAAATGTTTTCAAATCATTGTTGTTGGTTACATCCTTGTTGTTCCCACAACTTAAGTTGTGACCATTTTTTACATTCCCTGATAGTGAATGCTTGGAAAACCTTAGGAGAAGCTTTTAAATTGAAGCTTCCAAGGAATAACCAGTTTCCAAGCAATTCTCTGCAGCCAATTTAACTCCAGAAAGCAAGACCTGGATCCTCTTTGCTGTTGCTCAAAGCTTGGTTTTGATCCTAATCAACACATATAAATTTACAATCTATGAAACATGCTCAGAGCCTATTCAGGCACTTCATTGAGATTTTGATGAATTTTGGAGAAAACATCATCATAGCCCCAACTTTGATCTAATTAAGAATTTTTAACATGTATTTACTGTAATATTGATGCTGGTCTGAACTTTCATCTGTGAACAAAGAAAGAGAATAACGAAAATCAGTTGGCACTACAATTAGAGATGAGAATGCTGCCTCTAAAACAACACAATGTCTCCTTGGTTTGATCTCTTTTGTCATTCTACCCTCCATGCGTCTCCTTCCCCTGAAACATCTAGGTCTGTGGAATAATGTACACTGCTTTGGGCAAGGCTTGGATCTCTATGGCCCATATTTAAGCCTGGTGACTGTGCTCTTAAGAATCTTAAACTTCTTATTTTATTCCTTCTATATGAAAACTACCTCACATTCTTTAGTTATTCACAGGAACATTTGATACCAAAAGTTGGGAATGCAAAATAATACTAACAGCAATGGCAAGACCACTTAAACAAATACTAAATAGATTAATATGAATATAGAGTGATGTAGAAAAAATAGCATTGTTTCATTAGAAAGTTCTCTCCAAGTTATTGAGACACTTAAAGAACATTCTTCCCAGTGGGCCTCCTCTTTCATTCAATAAGTTATCTATTGAGTGAATATCATGCTCTAGGTACTATGCTAGTTTAGACTCATAGATTTATCCCAGGCAGAGAACTAGTACGTATATGAGCAGCCTTTCACACCCTTGAGGCATAATAATTGCTCCCAAGGTGAAGGCAAATAGTTGAAAGATTTCAACGGCCTTGTTTCTCTTGCATGCTCAGATGGCCTTGGAGAATATCTAGGAAAGAGTTGCCCAGAAGAAATAGATTATGTGAAATTCTAAAAAGTAGATCAGAAAGATCACTGTTAGTCATAGCTACCTGCAGACTGTCTTTCATCTGAAAAGTTCAAAAAGGTTTTTCTCATTAGGGACTTATTTCTAGATGGGAAAAATAAAATGCTATAAGGAAATTGTTGAGCAACAGAACACAACACCTGTGGTTTCCTCTTCTATTTCTCTACATCCATCTTTAGTGGAAGTCACCTGTTTAAAGTCCTCTTACCTTCTTTAAATGTTTCATAATCCTTAGACATATTCTGAATTTTTAATACCTAGCTTCTGCAGGAATTTTTATTAATAACATTCACAGTTTATATCACCAAGAAAATTCTTAACTATATTTATTCTATTTCAGATAGAGCCTAAGTTAAGGATGAATCTATTATATTTTGTGTGATTAGTGGCTACCTTTTAGTAAATTACTCCTATGACCTACAATTCCAACCTACTTTTCTCACATAATGTGTCATCTTATTTGTAAGGCATGCAACAATAAAATGCTATTTATTCCTGATGTATCAAATCTTAAAATAATTAATATTTAACAATATTTTCTCTCCAATTGCATTATCTTATTAGAAACAGATATGAGTGTTTGCATGTCTGTGAGTATATATGCATGCACCTATAAGCTTTTGTGTGTGCACGTGTGCACGGGTTTGTGCATGTGTGTGTGCATGTGTGTGAAGCATCTTTGGAAATATGAAAATACAACCTCACTTATTTCACATAATCCTAAACTATTTCATTATGCAGATCATTATTTTCCTCCACATCATTTTTTAGATACCATCTTCGTTCTGTTTTTGAGGAAATAAAAGTGAGAAGGGCAAAAATGCACGGAGAGGAAAAAAAGATCAAGAAGGTTTTTATATCTAAATGAGGCAAATTCATATTTGCTTTCGCATCATTTGTTCATATTAGCAATTGCTCCCATCTATGAGTGCTTCCAGTGATGTAAGCACTTTATGAGCATTAATTCATTTAAATAGCACAACTACCTTCCACGATTCTGGAGGAGAAGCCAGGGCATGGAGATATTACAAACATGCACAGCTGTAAGTGTGAGCGCTTGGCCAAATCCAGACTCTACACCCACGCTCCGAAAGCCCCACTGCACTACATAGGGGGCCCAGAGCGCTCTCCTCTGACAGAATCTGGCTACTGGCAACTTCAACTTCTGAAAGATTCCCTGAGCTGGAAATTACTGAAGAGCTCAACAGTATTGTGGAAATTTTAGTCACGTGGTAATTATTTCAAATATATTTTACTTGCGTAAAGCTTGTCTCCAGTTGGAAATGGAACTAATAATTAGAATTTTTTAAATTTTTAACACCAAACATTCACCTTTTATTTTCAAGGTGAAATATTATGTAGGGTATATCATCATATATTTTGTTGAAATCTCTTGTATTTTGAAAATGGAAGTCCAAAACTTATAAATTTAGAAAGAAATGGCATTGGTAATAACAATGCCTTACATTTATATAGGCATTTATTGTTCATAAAGTGTTCCTACCTTCATTATCTCATTTGACCTTCATTCACTACGATCCTCTGAGGGAGAGAGGACTGGTTCTATTGTCCTCATTTTACAGATGTGAAAAAAGAGAGGTGAAAAGATATAAATGGCTCATTAAGTTCCCTATTTAATGCCATAGCTACTTAAATAGAAGAGCTAGAATTTGAGCCTTTTTTTTTTACTCTAAGTCTAAGGTTTTTGATGGGACCTTTTATTACTTGATAGGGTGATGATAAAATCACTTGGCTTGTGAGTGTTTCTGATTTTATCTGAGAAATTATCTAGGATCATCCTTTAATTGTGTCAGTGCCACATGGTTCAATATAACACCCTGAGGAACAATGCCAAATGCAATTACCAATCTCAAAAATTGCCCCAAGGCCCATCAATCTCCTTATTGCTAAATATCTGGCTTTATTTTTTGGAATAACTCTGAAATATGATTTGTGGTTTTTGCTATACCTGACACATGTACATAATGCATAGACAAAACAAAGGAGAGGAAGGAAGGAAGGGAGGGAGGAAGGGAGGGGAGGGGAGGGAGGGAGAAACCCAAGCTTTCATATTACCTGGCTATTAAACACTGTTATTGATCCTTTCTGAGTAGCTGTTAATAGTAAATCCAATTGAGGAATCTTGACAATGCACTTAATTACATCCCGTCTTCTACTACCTGTCAATGGCATAATATTCATTTCAACTTCCAGCAGTAAAGACCCTAAAAGTCATTTGCTAGGTTTGTTTAAAAAAAAAAGAATAAAGAAAATAACTAACTTTTTGCTAGAAAGCCCCAAGTTACTTAAAAATTAAAATAGACTAAAACCATAAAAACCAACAATCATTGTTTTTAATTATCCTCAGAGGTATTAATTTGAATATATAGAGCTTTCCAACTAAATGTGGTGTATGGATTCCCAGAGAAAATGTAACATATATACCCACCCATCCTAGCACACGTTCAAGTACGTGTGCACCTTTCACAGAGAATGAGTTTCCTAAACATTTTTTGGAATCTTTTCTATTTCGAGATTTTTCACATCTCTTAGGAATCCTTTCTTTGAACTGTTACTATTGTAGTTTACACATAATAAACACCTAATACTATCTCAGGCTTTCCAGTAGAAAGGAATGAAACTACTTTAATGTTGTTATGAAGGCTTTTTTTAACTTTGTGCATTTTGAAAAAAAGCAAAAGAAAACACTAGACACTTTCGTGTTTCTATGCCCATATACTGAATGATAAAGCCATATATACTGGGTGTCTTCCCAGGGTATTGATTTTTATAATTGTAAACTCTTAGAGAGGAAAGGCAAGTGAACAGATCTCATACTCCAGTGTGACCGCTGTCATCCATTCTTCTCAACAGGGAAGACATTGTTCCCAAGGGAGTGCGAATTAGTTCTTCGGTGGGACATAAATAAGTCTTACTCTTTTTCTATATAAAGCACAGGCATATGTATAGTACATAATCAGATACACTTAATAATTAATATCTGAGGTCTTAAAATGGGTAGATGGGGGGAGGTGAATAGGAAAAAATGTTAAAAAAGTCCTCTTAGGGGTTGCTAATGAAAAAAATGACTGAGAAATATTGTCCTATTTCAAGTCACCACCATTCTCTCTGCTTCCACTCCTTCCACTATAGACTATATTGAATGTAGAAGCCGGAATGAAAATTTAAAGTAGTATAGCTCAGATCATGTTTCTAGGAGCCCTCTCGTAGCTTTCTGTCTCACTCAGAAATCTTCAGCATGGCCCATGAGGCCCTATACCAGTGTGGCCACTCCTGCTGTTACCTCTCAGCGTCATCTTCTAGCTCTCTCTCCCCCTGCTTGAAAGGCAGGTTTGCGCCCGTGCTCGCTCTCTCTCTCTCTCTCTCTCTCTCTCTCTCTCTTTCTCTTTCTCTCTCTCTCTTCCTTCAGGTCATTTTCAGTTCTCAGAGGGAGTTCCTGGGGACCATCCTATTTAACACTACATTCCCATCCCCAAACCAACTGCTCCTTCCCACTTTCTTGCTTTATTTTTCTCCACAATCTGCTTATTTTATTTTATTTTTCTATAGCTCATATTACTATCCAACATATTGTCTGTTTTACTTGTTTGATTTTTTTATGTTGTCTGTCTCTCCCCATTGGAATATAAACTCCATGTCAGGGATCTGTGCTTTTGTTCACTGCTGTATCTGCAGCACTTAGAAAGGTACCTGGCCCCCACATATTTGCTGAGTGATAAATGAAGTATAGAACCCAGCTGCCATCTAGAAAGATACTTTCAAAGTTCTAACTTAGGAGGCCAGTGACACTTCTCTCCTGCTCACTGGCCCTTCCTCAGCTCAGCATGGTGGCAGCAGGGACAGACATTTTGTGTCTGTTCTTTGATGAATAAAAACATTTATTCATTCTGTTCCCAAGGCCAGAGGCTAGGCTCTGCTGAGGCCTATGTTTGGGCTAAGGAAGTGTCAAGGATGAAAGTGAGCTTGGTTCACAAAGCACTGAAGTCCCGGTGCTTTTTTCTGGGACATTGAAAAAAGATTCCACCTAGACTACACATTTCATGTCAGAATACAGGATGAAATACGGGAGGACAGGAGTAGGTTTGAGGGTTTGCCTTTTTTCTTCCTGAACTTCTCACACCTAGGAGGGAGGAAAGGGAAGAAAATCCCAAAGTGCCACCAATGGGGAGGGATGGGAGTTCCCAGGTCCCAGGCTCAAATGTGAAAATTAACACACATAAACTGAAGACTTCCTAAACTGAGGCAATACCCTCCACAAATGGCCCAGACTCACAGTTTTAGAGATGTAGGGTTAGACTTCATTAAGATAGTCAAGGGTAGATAAGTATGGGGAGGAGTCCTATGTAGTGAAAACTTGAAAACTCAATTTTAAGGATATTTTAAAAGAAACATGATTCCAGTTGGTACTGGAACATGCATTATTGAGATACCATTGTAGAGAGGTTTAACTGGAGGTCTGAGCCTTTTCAGGAAAATGTGATTTTTTCCTGTTCACATTTTCTATTTGGAGTCCTTCAGAGCAATGATAATATTTCAATTTCAATTATAGTAGAGTTTCTTCTGATACTGTGTATAAAACTGGCACTTCCTCCTCTTCCAATTATAAAATATTGAGCAAGTAGCGATAGTTAGACCTCTTCTGCCCCAATTTGGATACCCTTGATTTCCTTCCCTGATTGCTCTGGCAATTGCTTCCAGTAATCCCACTGCTGGGTATTTTGGGAAAAAAGACATTCTATAATAAAGACATCTGCACTAGAATGTTTATAGCAGCACAATTCACAATTGCAAAGATGTGGAAACAACCCAAGTGCCCATCAATACATGAGTGGATTAATAAAATGTGGTATATGTATACCATGGAGTTCTACTCAGCCATAAAAAACAATGGTGTTATCCTGGATGGAGCTGGAGCCCATTCTTCAAAGTGAAGTATCTCAAGAATGGAAAACAAGCACCACACATACTCACCATTAAATCGGTACTACTTGACCAACACTTATGTGCACATATGGGAAGTAACATTCACAGGTTGTCAGGCAGGTGGGATGGGGGAGCAGGGGATAGGTATATTCACACCTAATGGGTGTGGTGCACACTTTCTGTGGGATGGGCACACTTGTAGCTCTGATTCAGGTGGCGCAAAGCCTACGTATGTAACCAAAGTGTTTGTACCCCTGTAATATTCTGAAATAAAAAATAAAAATAAAATATTGACCAAGTAAATAAAATGAAAGTGATTCTATGGAAACATTATATTCCCAATATTTATTCTTGAGAAAAATATTAAAACTTGTACTAATTTGGAAGGGAAATTAAAAATGTCACCTGAAATTACAACTCGCTGTTTTCTAGACACAAGGAAAACCAAATTTTCTTCATCCAGTTGGGAAGCAAGGTAATCTTCTTCAGAGGAGAAGTATCCAAAGATCTAAACTCCCAAACAACACATATAAAGGTAAACAATATCTCAGAATTGGCTATAAAGTAACAGCTTTTGTGTCGGCTGAATTTAAAGTCTAATTTGGATTCACAGCCAACATCTTGCTTTATAAATATCAGGGGGTTCCCAACACCAAAGGTAGATTAATGTAGTCAACAAACTGTATACTGACGGTGCATGATTTTTGAGCACTGATTTTTCTTTCCAATAGAAGATGTGATGTGCCAAGCTGCTGTCCTTGCTTAGACCGATAGATCTACTAGGAGCTGGCATTGATTTGGATATCAAATCAATCTTCATCATACCGGGCCCCAGCTAAGAACATTGACATTGAATTTGGCCACTCTCAAATGACTATCTTACTCATTTTCCATGAATCTTTCAGGGCCAAATTATTCATCCCTGTTAGGGAGAGTTTCAGAATTTAAGAGACTATACAGTTTCTTTATTTAACTGTTCCAAATCCCACTCTCTAGGCATTGCATGAGAATAAATTACCATGAGAGAATATCCCAAAGAAGAAAAGAACTCTTTATTTGTGAAGATATTGTCAAATTAGGTAACTCCAAGAAATTCGACAAATAAGCTAGCTGTTCTTCAATTGTCTTATTAATAAACAGACATAAAACTCTTATAAATTAATGAGAGAAATTAAAAAAAGCATTAACTATTTACAAATTTCTTTTTATTTAATAAAATTCTTATAATTAAATCCTTCCATAGTTAATATAGTGGTATTTCTCATGTAGATGAAACATCATTTTGCATACGAACCACCCTGGAATCCTGTTAAAGCGCAGATCCTACTGCTACACTTTAGGTCTGGGCAGGGGTCTGAGAATCTGCATTTCTAACAAGCTTCTCATGAGAGATCACACTTTGAGTTTAAAGGAACTGGTGACCAATCCAATTAAAAATAAATAAAAAATCAGCCTCATAGGAGGGAGGAAAATAAATTATAAATTATATCCAGACCATGGCCATGAAATGAGAAAATTTGACTTACTTTGTCAATCTGTCTTAATAGCATTTACTTATTTTGATGCTTGGTGATGGCCTAGCATTACATTTTAACATGTCCTTTCATCGGTTGCTACACAAATGTTACCACTTCTTCCTTTACATACTCTCACATTCCAACCTCATAATACATGACAATTGCCCTAAATATTTCATACAATGAGATTCCATTCTGTGGGAAAAATCAGGCTCGCTTTCTGTCTTTATTTTCCTTTCCTCTCACCAGCAAAGTTAGCATTAAAAGTTAGCAATAAAAGCTTAGCTAATTTATTATTGTTTCAGAAATCCCTGCTAATTTGTCACGGGTACAAAACCTCTAGAGTTAATACCTAATTCCCCATGAAGGACTGAGAAAAGTAAAGGAAAAGTACTTTTCATAGATCTATGTTAGAGTGGTCAGGAGGCTTTTGTCACTACAATTTCTTTGTCATCCCTGATAGATGCATTATCCAATCAATAATCATGCATTGATCGGCACCTTAGTCTTGTATCATTTGAACCCACAATATGGCCTTATGGCAAAGAGCATGCATTGTGGAGTCAGATGGTTCAGAATATGGGTTCAGGCTCCACAACTAATTGACACTCAGAGCTTAGACAAATACCTCCGCCTCTTGAAGTCTTGACCACCTCATCACTAGAATAAAAGGACAAACTTCTGAGTTTTGTTTCGTTTGTTTTAATGAGGTTTAAGTGACACGATGCATGTAGACCATTTTGCACTGTGCCTGGCACATAGTAATTTTTTAAAAAAACATTAGCTATTATTATCATTAGAAGGCTTAGATTGAGAAGGCCTCATGGGAGGGAGGAAAATATTATAAATTATATCCAACCACAGCCACTAAATGAGAAAATTAGACTCTCTTTAAAGGTAGTACTTTAAAACCATCAGGCCACTTGAGGATGGAACTGGTTTTTCTGATAAGAAAGGCTACTCAAGTGCACACTGTGATAAATTGATGGTGTAAGAAACTTTGCTAGGAATCTTGTATGACTTCCACAGCCAATCAGAACTAAGAAGGAAATTCAGTCTCCTGTCCCTCTAGCCCATCATTTCCCTACAGCTTCTGCTTCCTTCCTTACCCAGTTTAGAATCAGTGGTCTGTCACCTCAGTCATACATTTCCCCAGTCCTCTAACCCTTCACACCACTGCATGGCCAGGCAAGAAACTCCACCGCTGGGTGAATCCAACTGCTGCATTCCTTGCACCCACGCTGCTGTGGCTGATCAGCACAGAGAAAATCTACCAGCCCCGTGGATGGGGCCACTAAACATTCTTGAGCTCCAACCTCCTGGGGCTTCAGTGCCACCCAGCAATCACCCGTGCTTCCTTAGGTTATCTCTTCCATTGTCCATGGAAACAATGTCATATGTCCAAGCTCATCAAACATTTGACTCTACTGTCTGGTCACTCTCAGCAGCTGAGCTCATCCCCTCCTTCAGATGATAGTAGAAGCCACCAAACAAGAGCATCCTCATCTTCTTACTACCTGACCTACACACCAACCTGGGCTTGGATTCATCCTTTCTTTTCTCATTCCCTTTTAAAGGAAGATACGTTTCTCCTTTCCAATGCTAATCCTTCCATTTGTCCTTGGCATCCTAGTCCCTTTCATTTCTTCAGTTTGTCTCCTTTTTCTTTCCCCAGTATTTTCAACCTCTCCCTTTCTACTGACTTCTCCTTTCACCATTCAGACATGTTCAAATCTATCTCATCTTAAAACAAAATACAATAAACGTTCCAAAGTCAATTATAGATAATACAATAATCCTTCTCCAGCATCCTTGTCCAAGCATTGCCCCTCCTTACAGTGCTGTTCAGTTTGAAATCTGCTTACAGCCACATTTTGTTTTCTGTTGATTGTAACAGCAGACACACTGTTTTTCAACTCTGACATTTTCCTCTCTGAATTCATTTTCTATTGCTGCCCAAACAAATTACCACAAACATAGTGACCAATGCCGATTTACTACCTCACAGACCTGTAGGTTAGAAGTCCAAATGGATCTCATTTTCCTAAAATCAAGGTATCGGTAGAGATGTGTCCTTTACTGGACACTTTGGGGAAAGAATCTGCTTCCAAGATCATTCAGGCTGCTGGCCTGAGGTCCATTACCTTGTTGGCTGTCAGTGGGAGCTGTTCTTTTCTCCTAGAGGTCTTTATTCAGTTTTATTAATAGTATGTGGGTCCCAACATCTCTGCAACAACAATGGAGCTTCAAGTTCTCCTCATGCTCTCTTCTACCTGCCTCTTCTGTTTTTAAAGACTGGTGTGATTACTTTGGACTTTCCCAGATAATCCAGCATAATTTCCCCATATTAAGGTCAACTGATTAGTACCTTAATTCCATCTGCAAAGCTCCTTCACAGAAGTCCCTAGATCAGTGTTTTATTGAATAACCAGGGGACAGGAATCTTGGGGGGAGCACCTTTAGAATTCTGCCTATCACACCCTCATTTTATAGACATGACTCAGTACAATTTAAACTACTTGTGCAAAATAAATGAAAAATGGATGATCAATGTTAGCAGCCAATTTAACCTAAGATAATAGTGTGAAATAGTAATTTCCAGGTAATAATGTGAAATGACAATGATAATGATGATTATTTCCGTATTAATGAATTCCAATGTTTCTCAGGGGTGGGAGAACTCAACACCATATGTGCTGTCCTCTAATTTGAAATGATGTCTTATATGTCTATGATAGCCATTCTCAAAGAACAGTTTGCAGACTGTCATTTAACTTGATCTTTAATCTCTGTGTAATTTTTGTGGTCATAATGATAATGCGTCTAAGTGTCTAAGAACATACATGATATGAGAAGAAACCCAGGAGCAATGTCCTATGAGAGATAGTAGTACATGCTTTAGGACTTGGACATGGGTCTAAATCCTGGTTCTACTGTCTGCTAGTCACATGATCTCAAGCAAGTTCCTCACTTCCTCTGTGTTTGAGTTTTCCCTATCTGTATTATAAAATAAGGATAATCAGTAATGATACCACCTTATGGCCTATTGTAAGGAGTAAACGAGGAAGTGCATAATTAGATTACTTAGTAATTAGGAAGATTGGAAAGTACTTATATTGCACCAAGTGCCAGGTAGGAGCTCAATCAATGTTAACATTTGAGTAATTATAATTTCTAATTTTTCCAGAGACAATACAGGAAACAGAATTCAGGTGTCCTCCTTGCTAGCTTAAAACCATTCAGTAAGCACCTTTGCTACTTGGTCAGACAACACATCAGCCACGCAGTTTATCATACATACATTTTATAGAGACATTTATGTGTAGATAGATGGCATTGTGTGGACATCTGTTCTTGTGGATATGATAAATTTTGCTACTTTCACTTGTAGTAACACAATATTATAAAGCTTACGAAAAATAACTTCCAAAGGATACTAAAAACATCAAATTACTAAAATTTCTTTTTTTATAGGCCTTTTAAACTTTAAGTAAAATTTATTGAGGAAAAATTTAGGATACACCAGATAAACTCCTTCAGAAGAGACAGCAAAAGTTTTACATTTTGAAAGGAAATGTTTCAAACAAGTAATAGTGTTAAAGAGCAGAAAATACCCATTTTTCCTGTGACAGGCTGTAGCCACAAGGATCTCAAATTTCTCTTTCAACATTTTAAATTTCAGTCCAGTAATTGTATTTTTGACAAGATTTGAGTATTTTATGGCTATTAGAATATTCATATTATTTTAACTATGCTATTTAAAAGGCTTTCTCCATACTTTAAGTGATTCATTTTTAACTACATTTTCCTCCTGATTACATAAGGAACATATGTTCATTGTAGAACATATAGAGAAAATAAAAAAGCAGATAGAAGAAAATAAAAACCTGTATGCAACTTATTTTTTAACCCACCCTGGAACGTTCTTTTCACATTTTAGAAGTTAGCAAATATAATTTTAGATCTATAATAATTCACTTTAAATTCGCTTGTGAGGGGGAATATAATTATAGGCATCCATATGGTGTGGAATGCCTCTTCTTTGAATTAATTTGCAGTGTGCTCCTAAAAAACAACGTGTTTATGAGTTTTCCAATGGAAGCACAGATCAACATGGCATGGTAGGAAAAGTAGACAGTGTCTGCATCAGACTCTTCTACTAATTAACTTTATAAACTTAAGGCAATCACAGTTCTTTGGATCTCTTTACATCTAATTTTTCTCATTATAAATTGAATGGGCAGGCTTCCATGATGTTCTGGTTGAGTTCTAAGATTTCATTATTCTATGAATCTCAAATTCTCCAAGTGCCTTTGCATCTAAAAATTTAGAAAGTGCAACCTTTTGTGGCATTGCTACAACCAAGAGATTTATATTTGGAATCAGATTTATATGACTGTGTCTGAGTTTAAAAGAATAAATGTAGTTCTTATTACCTGAGAAGATTGATATTGGCTGATAAAAAACAAAAAACAAGTAACCTATACTGAAATGAAGTTAGTGTTCCAGCATTGAATTTCTATTTTACAGATGATGGATATGAAGTCCAGAAAGGTTAGGTCACAAGGCTTAAAATAGAAATGCTTCCTAGGAACATTGGCACAAATAGTTGGTAAGAATAATGACAGGACAATAAGAGAAAAACCTTCCTGCCCCATTTTCTCAAACCTCAAGTGACTCTTCATATACATATAGTGTGCCAGAGGCTGATAGTGAGTTTTTCTATTAGACTTGTATGTGACTTCTATACTATATCTTTACAAATTGAGCCTCTCGATTATTTTCCTCATCTTATTTTACTCTTTCAGTAAAGTTTCATAGTCTTATACATTCCTTAATAGATTTATCCCTTGTCATTTTCTCCCAATTGTGGCTCTTGTGAATGGAATCTATTTTTTTTTTCCTATTAGTTTTGGTGGGAGAGAGTGGTGGTTATCGCTGATGTTTGTATAAGTCACTGATTCTTGCATGTTTACCTTCTTTGAACTCTCTTCTTAGTTTTAATAGTTTGCCATACGATTCCTTTGTATGTTCTCAGAATACCAATAATGACAATTTTGTATCTTTTAATAATTAATTACATATCAATTCTGTTTTTCTCTCTCTGGATTGCTTACGACCTCCAATAAAATATTGAAGGGTAGTGGTGGTGATAAGAGGCATCCTTTTCTTGTTCATTACTTCAACGGGAATGTGTCCAGTATTTCACCTTTAAATCTAAATCTTACTTAAATATGTTTCTGGTGAGTCCCTATGGCAGACACATTCTAAAGTGATCCTCTCTTCCCTCCCAAACACATGAGTCACGCTTTTATCTATCTCTATTCCTTGAGTATGGTAGAACCTGTGACTTGCTTCTATCCAAGAGAATATGGGAAATGTGATGGGCTGTTTCTCTCCATGATTATGTTACATTTTATGAGCCTCCATCTTAGCAGACTATGGAGAGAAAGATTCTCCTGCTGGCCTTGAAGAAGCAATGTTGTGACCTGCCTGTGAAGAGGGCCACATGGCAGGGAATTGCAGACAGCCTCTAGGATGAGAGGTCAGACTCCAGCCTCCAGCCAACAAGGAGCTGAGGCCCTCAGTCTTACAACAGCAAAGAAGTGAATTTTACCAACAACCTGAATGAGCTTGGAAGCTAATTCTTCCCTAGTCGGGCCTCCACATGAGAACACAGCCTAGATTGCAGCCTTATGAGACACTGAGAAGAGGACCTTAGTTAAACTTTTTACAGACTCCTGATCCATGGAAACTGTCAGATAATGTATGTTTCTTTAAGTTGTTAAGTTGTGGTAATTTGCTACAGTAGCAATAGCAAACTGATACAGTCAATGCCCTTTATCACAGTAAGGTAATTTTCTATTATTCCTACTCTGCTAAGATCTCTTTTCCAAGTCGGAATGGCTATTGAATTGTTATCAGATATCTTTTTGGTTTTTAATTTTACTTAATATTAAGGCTAGAAGTCAGCAAACATTTTTTGAAAAGGGCCAGGTAGTAAATATTTCAGGTTTGCAGGCCCTTCAGTTTCTGTTGGAAGTATTCAATTCTGCTATTATAGTGCAGAAACAACCACAGTCAACATGTAAATGAACGTACATTGCTGTTTTCCAGTAAACTGTTTACAAAATCAGGTGGCTGTCCAGATTGGGCCTATGGGCCTTAGCTTGCTGATCTCTGATTAAGATTATCATATTACTTTTTCTCCCCTAACTTATTAAATTAAATTTATTTCTAGCTTTTCTAATATTGAACCATCCTTAATTTGCTGGGGTAAATTCTACTTGGAAATGATTTTTTAATACACTGCTGGATTCAACTTGTTAAAATTTTATTCAGGAGTTTAGCATTTATATTCATAAGTAATATTGGCTTATAGTTCCTTGAGATTTTTTTTCCAATTCAATGTTATTTTAGCTTCGTAAAATGAGTTGGACAGATTTTCAGCTTTTCCTAAATTGTAAAAAAAATTATAGAACATAAGAATTATGTATTGCTTAAAAACTTAGTAGAAGCTTTTTTTGTTTGCAATTTTTTCCTAAATTAATTTATTAATTTTTTCTTCAGTGGGTTTTGGGGACTTTGGCTATCTTTTATTATAGGTTTCTAATTTTATTATATTGAAATTTATTGACATATTCTTTTTAACCTAACAACATGATCAATTTTATGATGTCTCCATAAGTATTTGAGAGAGGTGTATTTTTCCTATGTCTTGGATTCAAAGTTCTATTTATATATATCTATCAGTTTATAAGATGTGATATTCAAATCCTTTAAATCCTTACTTTCTCTTTTGTCTACCGTATCCAGTGAATTTTGAAAGAGAACTAGATAATTTTTTAAATCATTGAATTACTCTGTATACATATGTGTAGTTTTTTAAAAGAATAAACACTGTGCTGATGAGAAAACAACTCCGAGAATGTAAGAGGTGGTCAATTGTTGCCCCTTCCTTCTGTTATATTAAGGATTTGGATGCACTGAAGATTTGTATACATTAACCCTATTGAAAAGAAATATCTCACTTAGAATGCAATGAGGCCATTAAAATCTTGGTGGTTGTTAATAGCACGAGTAGTTCTTCCAATTGTTAGCTTGATCTGAAAGTATTTCAGAGTTATTCTTTAATAACACAGTTAGACAGTAACCTCGTTTACCCACTTTCAATTGTGGGCAGTAGCTACATCTCAATGGGTGAAACATGCCGCATTCATATCGTGGATTTAACTCCTGTGGGAGTAACACTTTGTTTTAATTATTACTTGGAACTAAGACATGATACCTGGATTTCCCACTATAAACATGAAAAAGACTACCTCACACCAGTCTATAGACGCGTGAGGGTTGTTGCAGAGTTTCCTGTAAAAGCATTTCACATCTTGATTCTTCACTTCTGGACCAAAGAGTTCCTGTACTGATGCATAAAACTTGTCATAATCAATTGCATCTGCATTGGAAAAAGTACAAGTATATTTTCATCAAATTTCAAGGACTATCTTTTGTATTGCAGCTGCCTTTTTTATTTCCTAACTTTCTACATTCTTATTTCGATGTATAAAAACCAGATTTATTTGCATGTGAAAGATCTTTTCTTTGGAAACATAACTAGGCCTTTGGCTAAAATATTACTAAATCAGAAGGAAATATTTTACTTTGGTGTTTTGTACCTTCTCCATAGCTTTTGTTTAAGCTATTTTAAGTTTTTTCCAGAAATACAAAGATAAGAAAACGAATTACTTTTTTTTCCTATTGTAAATAATTTCACCAATCAGAGTATCTACTAGATTTCATCTTGAGTGGAAGGTAGAAGTGCCCAAAAAGCAATTCTTTTTTTTTTTTCTCTTTATAGAGACAAGGTCTTGCTATGTTCCCTGGCTGGGTCTCAAACTCCCAGCCTCAAGCCATCCTCCTGCCTCAGCCCCCCAAAGTGCTGGGATTACAGGTGTGAGCCACCAGGCCTGGCAACTGGACACATTTGTGATAGTTACAACGAGGGTTGAGTGTGCTACCGGCATCTAGTGGGTAGAGGCCAGGGATGCTGCTGAACATCCTACAATGCACAGGACAGCCCCAACTACATCCTGCCCTCTCCAATTTATATACAGAACAAAGAATTATTCAGCCAAAAATTCAATTGTGCCAAGGTTAAGAAATCCTGTTCTAGAATTCTGGTTTCAAAACTCAGAAAATGTTGATACTATGGTAGTTTCCCTTTATCTGTGATTTCACTTACCAATGTTTTGGCTACCCATGGTCAACTATGGTCAGAAAATATTAAATGGAAAATTCCAGAAATAAACAAATCTTAAGTTTTAAATTGCACCCTGTTCTGAATAGTATGATTAGATCACACGCCATCCCACTCCATCCTGCCTGGGACGTAAATGCTCCCTTCGTCCAGCATATCCACACTGCGCATGCTCCCCGCCTATTTGTCACTTAGTAGCTGTTTCAGTTATCAGATCAACTGTCACAGCATTGTAGTGCTTGTGTTCAAGGAACTCTTATTTTACTTTATACGACCCAAAACACAAGAGTAGTGATGTTGGCAATTTAGATATGCCAAAGAGTAGCAGTGAGGTGCTTCTTTGGAGTGAAAAGATGAAAGTTCTCGACTTAATAAGGAAAGAAAAAAAATCAATGCTGAGGTTGCTAAGATCTGTGGTAAGAACAAATCTTCTATTATGAAATTGTGAAAAAGGAAAAAGAAATTTGTGCTAGTTTTGCTGTCGCATCTCAAATTGCAAAAGTTACAGCGACAGTGTATGGAAGTGATTAGTTAAGATGGAAAAGGCATTACATTTGTGGGTGACATGAACAGAAATGTGTTCCAGTTGATGGCAGTCGGGTTCAGTACTATCTGTGGTTCCAGGTATCCACTGAGGGTCTTGGAATTATCCCCCTTGGAGAAGGGGGAGCTACTGTATTTATCCAAACAGGAGCAACTGAAAAAGAACTATGATTCTTAGGGAAAATAAAGCATTCCATTCTGGTCATATTAAGTTTGAAATTCCTATAAGACATCTAAATAGTTTTAAATTCACACCAAATAGTATAAGATATGTGGTTCACTGTAAATGTCGCTAGATTAGGATAATGAGACTTTCTTTTCCTGGGATGATTTTAATTCTACCAGGTCATTGACGAGATTTAAGAGCAGTATAGCTTGGACAAATTCCTGCAGTCTACTTGATATAATTTTTAAGGTAGACCTTGTTCTGTTAAAAATATTCTCTCTAGCTCTTAGTTCCTTGCCTCTAATGAGAAGTAGACCCTATTTTCCAATATTTATAAAGAAACATATATTTATCCCAGACAGTATTAGCAGCCTGGTAAAAGTTAAGATCATATCTCTCTTCTCAATCCTTCATACCACATTCTATCTGTCGTAGAACATAATTTGTCTAGTAGTACTTAGTTTTTTATCAAATCTTAAAAAATATTGGGGAAGGAAATTTTCAGTGTAGCTTTGTGATCGCAAGCTTCTTAATGAGAGCAAAGTTAATTTCCACATTTAGCACACATTTAAGGAGTACCTTTTGGACACCAGCCCCTGTGCCAGGCCTAGGTTTACAAAACCTTCAAACCACTCACGGGTCTGTGGCAGAGGGAAGGGGCAGGAATGCACACATACATATCAATTCCAGCAGGTTAAATGCAGCAAGTAAATTCCCTGAGATGGCAATAAAGTACATTAACAATAACATTAACTGGCTGGGCGCAGTGGCTCATGCCTGTAATCCTAGCACTTTGGGAGCCCGAGGCAGGAGGATTGCTTGAGGTCAGGAGTCTGAGACCAGCCTGAGCAAGAGCGAGATTCCATCTTTACAAAAAACAGAAAAATTAGCCAGGCATGGTGGCATGTACCTGTAGTACCAGCTACTCAGGAGGCTGAGGCAGAAGGATTGCTTGACTGAGGAGTTTGAGGTTTCAGTGAGCTATGATGATGCCACTGCACTCTAGCTCAGGTGACAGAGGGAGACTCTGTCTCAAAAAAACAGAACAAAACAAAACAAACAAAAAAACCCATAAAAACTCAGTAGCATCAACAGTGCTGAGATTGGCTTTGCTTGGGGAAAGTTTGGAAGTTTTTACAAAGAGGTAATATTTGATTTGGTTCTTGAAACATGAGCAGAAGTTTACAGGCACACGAAAAGGAGGAAAGGCACTCTACATTGGGGGATTGATGTATGTAAAATCAGAGTCATTAAGAGGATGACATGGTTGGAAATGCTGAAAAGTTCATGGCAGGGCAAAAGGTGCAAGAAGGGAAATTCCAGGAGCTGAGGCTGGAGAGGTAGGTTGACGCAAACTGTAAGTTGCCCTACATGCCAAGTTAACATATATGGATTTCAGAGGTGTGCTAATAAATCAGAGATATGGCAGATAAAAATTTGTCTAAAAGGAAAAACTCTTGGCAGAAGTGTAGAGAAAGAAATAACTCTTGGCAAGAAGGCTACTATAGTAAGAGCCTGTTGTATTAACCCGAGAGACAGCATGACATAGTCAAAGCTTATGCAGGATGAGTGTCCCTTATCTGAAATTCTTGGAACCAGAAGTATTTCGTATATTCAGGTTTTTTGGATTTTGGAATATTTGCATATACTGTACCTAATGAGATATGCTGAGGATGGGACCCGAGTCTAAATGAGAAATTTATTTATTTATGGTTTATATATGCCTTATATATACCTGAAGGTAATTTTGTGCAATATTTTTAATTTGTGCATGAAACAAAGTTTGTGTGCATTAGACCATCGGAAAGCAAAGGTGTCACTATCTCATGTAATGCTCAAAAAGTTTTGGATTTTGGAGCATTTTGGATTTCAAATTTTCAGATTAGGGATGCTCAACCTGTAGCAAGACATCCAGCTTAGGAGACTAGGTAGATGGCAGTTATGCTATGAGAGAACACAATGGGCAAGGAGAAAAGGGGGCAAAGAAAGAATGAGAGGGGAAAAATAAGTAACAGAGGAGAAGGAAGTTTCTTGAAACAGGGGCGGCTAACAGTGTCAATGCAGTGAAATGGGTCAAGCAGGCTGGAAAATGAAAACAACTTACTGAATTTTTTGGCAACCATATTAGGTTATCAAATACCTTGGTCAGAGCATTTTCAGCAAAGCGACAAGCGAAGCCAAACGAGTAGACTGAAAATTAAGTGGTCATGCTGTGGAGAAATTTAGTGGCGAAGCAAAGGAGAGCCACACAGTGGTAGCTTAAAGGAAAGAGAAAGCCAGGGTCATGCGGTTTGAGTGTATTTTTAGATTGAGAGGAAAAATCCAGTGGAAAAGGAGATTTTGAAGCTGCAGCAAAGTAATAGCCTCGAAGGGGTTGGGAGACAGCAAAGAAGGACGTGTGCTCCTTTAGGTGATTTGGAAGTGGAGAAGAGGGAGCTTGAGAGAATTCTCGTTTTCTGACCTTGCTGTTTCTTATGATGAAGAAAGCTTGACCGAGAGGAGCAGAGATCCCGTAGAGAATTCAGAAAAAGTGGCAAGGGTTTGGAAAACCAATTACCCAAAGTCAGGATTTTCACTTATACATGACTGCAGCCTGGCACATGGAGAGGCTGGCCGTGCTATCCCGTTAACAGTTATATGGGCCCTGCTCCTTTTATTGCAGCACCAGGATTCGTTCTGTTAGTCTTTTACTCTGCTGTTTTGCCTACTCTTCATCGCTGCCGTCAATGCCTTGAAGCTGCACACTTCACTTTCCTTGAACTCTGGCCACGGTGGTATACTCCTAAGTTCTGCACTGGAGTCTCTGCTGCTAACATTCCTGGCAGACCACTGTGTAGTACATGCCCCTTCCCTTAACATCCTCAAAATCGTTCCTGCCTAGAGAGATGGGGAGTGGCCAAGACAGTGGGGAATTATGGTGCGTCAGGCAACTGCACTGCTTATGAAAGTCCTATGGTCTCACGTTACTCTCAGATACAGAGATGGCAGCATGGCACACATGGCTTACAAATGGTCACTGCGTACTACTGAGAGTCCCAGGTCAACCAGTGAGCCATCAAATGGCAGAGCCTACAGCAGAACGCTTACATGTCATTTAGCCCAATTCCCTAATTTAACAAATGAGACAATTTAGGTTCAGAGAAGTGGAAGAAAAGCTTCCTCGAGTCCACTTAGCTACTTAAAGCCCCAGTGTCTTTGCTACTAAGCTCTGTTACTTCTCTCTGCTGGCTTAAAACATTTCCCAGTTTTAATCAACAGACCCAACTGGACCGCCCTGAAATAAATCACTGAGCTTACCTTCTTTTTGGATAAATAAGCCTGCTCTTTCATCTCTTTTTTGGGCTGCTGTTTGTTCAACCAATTTTTCAAACTCTTTCAAGGACGTTTGGAAATTGCTAACCTGAAGTGTAGCATTGAGACGCATTTCCTCACTGTTATCCATAGGGAAATAGGTAATCTTTTACTTCTGTACAGAAATAATACTGCAAACTTGCCAATTTGGAAAACCTTCCAGTTGTTATAATGCCTCCCTGCTGTCTCAATTTTTGCTCTAGGTCTCATTCCTTTGATCTTAAAATCCCATACTGTGGGTAGGAAGAAGAGTTGCCCCTAGGATATTAGCAGGGAGGAAAGCTGACTTAGGTCTGACGCATTTCATACAGGCAAACATTGCAGTAAGAACGCTGACCTCATAATGTTACCAGCATCCTCCCTTAAGCCCTCATTGCATCATAATATCTCTGTAACATCCTACTTCCCTTTCTCCTGTATCTCTTCTCACCTCAAACCTTTTGCCTTCCTCAATGTTGTGGAAAGGAAAGTTCACACTCATTCTTGCAGCTGTACTGTATACGGAAACTTGAACTTCTGATGAACTTCTAATGATGAAAATGTATTTCAGCACCTGCCATTTCTACCACAAATGAAGACATTTTTAGAAGTTATAGGGAATAAAAATGCCTCTTCTTCCTTTTATGTTTTGTCCCTTCAATTAAAATAATAATGTGAGCCAAGGCTGAGGAAGGAGTAGTTCCTGATTGTTAAGTAAGTTTTTCCACTGAAAACTTCATTCAAGGTGCCATTGAATGAGAAGAGTCCTATCTGCATATCTCCTTTCCTCTAATTGCAATCCCCAATCCCATTCAGTCCAATTGCCACTGACTCGTTTTCCAATTTTCAACTTTTTATGGGAAGGAGAGGTTGTCTAATGTTTTATCAATAATTAGATAACTTCGTATGGTTTAGGTGAGTTAGTTGAAGTTCCTACCCTTTAGTAGTCCATCTTTTAAAACATCCTGCAAGACTTTGCATTCAGATGTGACGCAGATGGCATTTCAGGACACCTCCAATTCCAGTACTGTCTTCTTGGTGTCCATCTCTGACTACTATCTATTCAGATAGCATAGTAAGATTTTACACAGAGAACAATCTCCCAACTTTATTTGTTCCTTCTCGTTTTTCCTTTAAAGCTTTCAAAGCACTATACAATGACATCTGAAGGAACATCTTTTCTACAATTCTAATGTACACATTCATCCATCCAAACACTTCATTATGGTTTTGATTTGCATTTCCCTAATGACAAATGGTATTGAGCTTCTTTTCATATACTTATTGGCCATTCATATATCTTTGAAGAAATGTCTATTCAGGTCCTCTGCCCATTTTTGAATTGGGTTGTGTGAAGTTCTTGTTGTTGTTGAGTTGTAGGTGTTCTTTATATAGTCTGGATATTAATCCTTTATCAGATATATGATTTGCAAATATTTCTCCCACCCTGTGGGCTGTCTTTTCACTCTTTTGACAGTGCCCTTGGATACACAACAGCTTTAAATTTTGATGAAGTCCAATTTATCTATTATTTTTTTCTGTTGTCTGTGCTTTTGGTGTCACACCCAAGAAGTTTTCTTCTATGAGGTTTATAATTTTAGCTTTTACATTTACATCTTTGATTCATTTTGAATTAATTTTTACATACGATATAATGTAAGACACCAACTTCATTCTTTTGCCTGTGGATGTACAGTTTCCCCAGCAGCATTTGTTGAAAAGACTGTCATTTCCCTACTGAATGCTTTTGACATCCTTGTCGAAAATCAATTGACCATATATGTAAGAGTTTATATCCTGGCTCTCTATTCTATTCCACTGGTCTATATGTTTGTCCTTATGATAGCACTGCACTTGCTTTAAATTGTAGTATTTTGCCATTTTCCCATCATTACATAATTCTGAAATTGAAAAGAAATATGTATCATTATTGACAAAGGAAATCATATATGTGGTATCATTGCCTGTTTCTGTCAAATTCAATAGATATCCATAACAATTCATAGTATAGTAAAATAATTGTATCAAAATTCTTAAAACATTTGAGCCCTGAAGCTCAAGGCTGCAGTGAGCTATGATGGCACCACTATACTCCAGCTTGGGCAACAGAGTGAGACCCTGTCTCTCTTAAAAAAATAAAAATAAAAAAATAATAATAATAAAGAAAGAAAGAACATTCTTAAACATTTGTCAAAAGCTTCTTACTCCTCCTTTACATTCACCATTATTATTCCTCGTGCATAGGCATTGCCCTGAACTTTACTCTGATGGAGTAAAAGCCAAAGTCCTTTCATTAAAATGGCCAAATGCATGATCTATCTGGCCAGTCACCACTCACTCACCTCTCTGTCCTTATTTCCTAATTCTCATTCTCACTTCCTTGTTGTTCCTCCAAAATGCCAAGCACAGTCCTACTATCTGTAACCACCTTGTCTAAATAACAACCCCTTCCTTTCTTACATTATTTTATGGCACTTGTCAGCAGCCGACACCCTACATATGTGATTATTTTGCGTTCGCCTTTTCTCCCAACACCACCAGAATGTAAGCTTTATGAGGATAGGGACTTAGCACCAAAGAATGAAAGAAAATATTTCAGAAAAAAATATAGTGGGTCCTTCTTTATGTAGTCATTCAACTAGTATTTATTAAGAACTTAGTGTAGTCTAGGCACTATGCTGAAAACGCAGTAGACATTAAACACATAGAACTTAAATGGCTGTATAAGTCTAAAATAAAAAACCTAAAAAAATTTTTAAAGGGGTGGGTGGACTAGGTAGTCTCATAGATAGCAAGTCCAGATCAGACAGCTTAAAGGAAAATCAAGGTTTATAAGGCAAAACACACTGCCTATCAGCTATTGCTCAATGCACCAGGGTGGTCCAGCTGATTAGATTCTATCTCCAGAGAATTTGGAATGGAGATTGATTGTAGCTAGTCATTCTTTACTGATCTTTTGAACAGAGGTGGGAGAGGCACACACTCTCATGGAGAGCAATTACTTCAGCTTCCACAAACGCTGTGCTAGTCACCAGTGCCAAGAAGGACAGCTTGCAGGTGTGGCTCAGGATTGCTATCCTCCTGTGGGGCCTTGCTAGGGACTGTGCCGTGACATTGGCAGAAGCAGTTCTTGCAGAGTGTGATGACGTCCACAACCTATATTTGACTTGTACTATATTTTCTTCGCTACTGGGGAAAAGGCCCAGTGGAAAATGTGTGCTGTTCTAAATATAGCACTTACCTTTCCATACCTGCTAGATTTAGGTTGAAGCTTTGGGGGCACAGCCTAAGCAATCACGGCCAGTGAAGGACTTCAGCAGGCCTCAGTTAAGAGATAGATCTACCAACACTTTAGAGCAGGACAGGAAGGATGAGGTTGGCAGGCCTTGCGGTCCAACCTGGGGCTTAGCCTCAGTCCCACTCGAATGCCATTTCCTTCCTCATCCCACACTCTCTGAGGGTGGCAGACTCTTTTATAAGCCCTCAGTTGTGTCCTCCAGCTCTCAGGTAGTTAGGTAGGCCCCTGTCCATCAGTTTAGCAATTTTCCTCCTCAGTTTTCCTGTTTGTGAGACTACCCCAAGCTTTTCAGTGGTCTGTTATTTTTTGTTTACATTTAGTATATGAGGCAGGGAAGGCTCTGTAGCCTGGCGGTGGGTTATTATAGCTTCCTGGGAAGGGGAGCAGCCTAGGGAGGAGTCCTTCCTCCACCCAAATCTCCCGTCAGCATGTGGCAGGCGCAGGCGCGCAGAGATATTTATGAATGAATGAATGCATGAGTAGTGAGCGAACGGGTGAATGCTCACTGCTTTCAAGCTGGGCGAGGGCAAACGCGCAGTGAGGAGCCATTGCTGTTGACCTGCCTCCGCGGGCGCGCGCCCACGCTGGCTGGCGGAGGGGTCCGGCGAGCAGGAGCCAGGGAACGAAAGCACGGGAACGCGCCCGCGCTGAGGAGCGCGGCTGCGGGGACGCTGGGGGCGGGGCGGCGGGGACACGCCCACAGGGAGGGCGGGCTGCGCGGCGCGCGAGGCGGAAGAGGCGGAGCGGGCGGGCGGCGCGCGGCGACGCGGATCCCGGCGTGCACAATGGCCAGAGCCGGCCGCGGGCCGAAGCCCCACCCAGTGCGGAGCGCGCCGCGAGCCGCGCCGCACGCTGAGCCCCTCCGCCCGCCGAGCGTGTCGGCGCCCGGCCATGTACTCGGGGAACCGCAGCGGCGGCCAGGGGTTCTGGGAGGGCGGCGGGGCCGCGGGCGCTGAGGGGCCGGCGCCGGCGGGGACGCTGAGCCCGGCGCCGCTCTTCAGCCCGGGCACCTACGAACGCCTGGCGCTGCTGCTCGGCTCCATCGGGCTGCTGGGCGTCGGCAACAACCTGCTGGTGCTCGTCCTCTACTACAAGTTCCCGCGGCTCCGCACCCCCACCCACCTCTTCCTGGTCAACATCAGCCTCAGCGACCTGCTGGTGTCCCTCTTCGGGGTCACCTTTACCTTCGTGTCCTGCCTGAGGAACGGCTGGGTGTGGGACACCGTGGGCTGCGTGTGGGACGGGTTTAGCAGCAGCCTTTTCGGTGAGTTGGGCTGGGAGGAGAAAGCATCCTCCCCTCCCCTGCAAACTTCCCACTCCCTGCCTTGCCGCCCCTCGTGAGTCCGCCTGCCCGCCAGCCGCCCTCCGCTCGGCCCCGCTCGGCCTCCGCTCTACGCTCGTCCAGCCCGGCCTCTTCTCCCTTCGGCCCCCTCACGCTCCTCGACCCCGAGCTGCATGGCATGCTGTCTTCCTTCATCTCCCTCACCCCACGCTGGCCGCGGCTCGGGTCCTGTGCTCCTTCATCCCTCCCCACGCTGACCCCAGACCCCAGCCCGCCTTCAGCTCCAGCTGCCCTTTAGACGCCAGTCCCTCCGTAACTCTAAAGCCCCTGGCAGGCTCGTTTCCTTCCATCCCATTTCTCTGTTTTCACCTCCTAATGTAATTCAACAGGGCACGACACAGTGGCTCTTACACTTTGAGGAAAGAGACGAGGGCCCGTAGAATCAAGAGATTCAAGGAAAAAAAGTGATTGACTCGTGAAAGTTAGAGGGGGTGATGAGATTTGATTTATATACTAGTATTTGTTTCCTAAAATGAGAGGTAGAGACCTAAAATAGCAAGGTGTCATTTTTTTTTTCTCATTAGCAGTTGTAAACCTTTGTATGCTTTCCTAGGGAGTGAGATAATTTCATTCAGGTCCTCAGAATGCAAACTGGTCTGTTCCCTATAAGCTATATTTACTATATTTTTCTTCTTATAGATAGATTCTATCACATCAAAATGTAAGATGAGATTACAAATGGCTCAGAGAATCCTATCTCAGGTGAACAAATGTTGTAATTAGCTGTGCAGCCGGTAGATTTCATTAAAGTAGAACTTGCATATTCATTGAAGATTCATGTGTACAGTACTCCTAATCGTTATGGAAGATTTAAGTCCATAAGGAGACTTGACATTTTGAATGATGATCAACAGCCCAGCATATCATTGAAGATGTGATTTTTTTTTTTTTTCTCAGCCTGAGAAATAAATGTTTCTGTGTCCTCCGGGAATTTCTTTTGTACAAAGACTTGAAATAGAAATATGCATTTCTTAGGTCTTAAAGTTCCTTTTTTCAATGCTGAAATTCGTTGATACTTTATTATTGCTTTTATTCCAGTAGGTTTTGGAGAACAAATATTTGTAGCATTATCAAAAATATTTTCTTATTCAGCAATATTCTATAACAGACCCAAATGTTACGATGTTTATAATGATTCACTTTTTGATATTTTGGAGGAAATAAGAAAATGTCATAGAAATCATTTCATTTATTTGATTGCCTCAATGATTATAATATTCTCCCTACCCCCCAATAAGCATTGATCTGAAAATTTCATTTGTACAAAGATTCGACACATGGGGAGGGGACTGTAAGTGTATGTAGGTCGTGATATAGATGGCTATGGGATTACACTCTATATTAATTAAAAATACTTAGCAGGCAATTTCTTAGGCGGGGTAAGCTTTAAAGAAGTTGATTCAAGCCCAAGCCTAAAGTATCACCAATAATGCCCCCTAGAGTGGGCAACAAGTGTTGGTTCACAGACATCAAAGTTCTTACTTTCACGAAGTGCCTTTTCTGTGCTGGAAAATTCTATGCCTGTGCCTAGGAGTTTGAAAACAAGAATATATTGTTTTCAAATATATATCTTTATAAGTACTAGCATCCATCTTGTTCCTTACCTCTTCTCTCTGCTGACTCCATCCTCTTGGGTCTCCTGGTTTCTTCTTTTTCTGTCCTTCACCATCTCTCCTGGGGTCCCATCTCTGTCAAAAGTGATTTTCAAAATTCACACAGTTTATCTCAGGGCATTTAGTTAGTGCTTTCAACCATGACTTTCTCCTTGTTTTTAAATTAGAGGTTGAAACTGTGGGCTAAGAGGTTCAGAGACTTGTTTAACAAGCCCTGAGGACAAGTCAATACTGAGGTTACTATGGAGCTTAAAAAGTTTTTAGCAAAGATAAAGAATTTCTTTGCCTGGAGTAAATTCCAAGGTTTGTACTTCTAGATTAGGGTTAAAAAGGGAGGATGCTTCCTTGTTGTTATCCCAGTTCTCTGGAGCAATGAGTAAATGAATAACCAATTGTGGAGCATTAAAGTGGGAGGAAATAAAAAAATGCTGGCATTAGCTGCTTGTTCCCTAGGCTTTTGGAAGAGGCTGCCCTATCTAGTGGAAAGACCATTGGCCTGATAGCATGAGAGTAGGTCCTGCTCTTGATCTTGTGGCTGATGCATCGTGTGGCTTTCCCAAGTTGTGTAATCTTTCCAGCCATCAATTTTCTCATCCCTATTATTGAGTAGTTGAGCTTAATGTTCTTTAAGGTTATCGCACTTGCTTTGTATTCTGACGACCCTTTTGATATCTGTAGGTGAGAATGTGCCTAGTCTTGTCCTCAGCTCTTATTCCCACGCTCAGCTCTAGCCCCCTCTAAGCCAAGAATAAGCATGCACTATGGTTATACCTCTCCAAATACCATCATAGGTTCTGTCTCCCTCTTCACACCCTGCTGGAAGAAGGCAGAATAAGTAATTCAGACATACTTATATTTATACATGAGTAGGCCAGGCAACTGATTCATTCTGTCTTCAGTTCCTGGCTTCTCAGGGAATGCTGAAAACGAGTGAAATCCCTGATATTCTTGAGGCACAGGCTTTGACTAGACAGGACTATTAGGATTGCCATTTCAGTCTATGAATGGCAGTCAGGTCAGTGACCTGCACAATTTAATCAAAGTTCCAATTGAATGGCTTGTTTTGCCAGTATCCAAGATAATTAGTCATCTTGGCCTAGACAGGTCCAGTTTGTACTGATTAGATTTCAGTAGACTTAACAGTGGTGAAAATCAGAACTCAAAGAACTCTCACTTTTACTGTGCAATGATGAAAGATAGAAAGTTTAGCTGTGTGTTATATGTAGTGCTTTGGCCTAAAGACTTCCAGGTGAGTATGCCCTTCAGCCCCTTGGCTGTTCCACCTCTGGCTACACCTGGTGTCGCACAGATGTTCTGCACATGGAATATAACCAGTATTGTGCTGGAAGTTCACAGGAGAGCTTTTCTTCACTACCCCTTCAAAAATAAGAACAACAAACAACATGTTAGTGTTGGCAGAGGATGTTTAAACAGACCTTTTTCTTGGGATACAGAGATTCAAGGTTGCAGATACAGTCTGGCAAAATGCAAACATCATCCTATTCAAATGTTAGAAGTAGATGTTTTTTATGTTAAGATATCTTAACATGAAACCAAGAATTTTCCTTTTTAGCTTACTCTTATAAAACACACTATACATATGATAAAGTACACAGTGTACTTTATATGTACATTCATATAAAGATTTTTTATAATTAGATTTTTCTCAATGTGCCTATTCTTTTTTTTTTTTTTTTTTTTTTGAGACAGAGTCTCACTTTGATACCCTGGCTAGAGTGAGTGCCATGGCGTCAGCCTAGCTCACAGCAACCTCAGACTCCTGGGCTCAAGCAATCCTACTGCCTCAGCCTCCCAAGTAGCTGGGACTACAGGCATGCGCCACCATGCCTGGCTAATTTTTTCTATATATTTTTAGCTGTCCAATTAATTTCTTTCTATTTTCTTGCTCAGGCTGGTCTCGAACTCCTGAGCTCAAACAATCCGCCCGCCTCGGCCTCCCAGAGTGCTAGGATTACAGGCGTGAGCCACTGCACCCGGCCGTGCCTATTCTTTTATGTACCTAAATATTTTGAAATGCCGGTTGTTTTACTGAATTAATCCTTTTGTAGTAATCTGACTGGTTAACTCAGTAGAAATAGTCTCATGTTGCTACCATGAGGTCCTAAGGGTGGTTGGGACGTGGAAAGGTCTGCTATTCGGCTGTTCTGGAATCACTCGAAGACTGTATTGCCCACAGGAATATTTCTAATCATGGCAGCATGCACATAGTATATAGTCTGTTTCCATAAACATAGTGGAGTGACACATTTCTTTTAGTCAGAGCTCACAGAGGTGTATAGTTTTATTCAAATATCAATTTACTTAAAAAGAGAATTGTATTATGTTAATTTTTCTTTATTTTTATGGGACATCATTATGTCAGTCCTTTATTACTGTATTGCCTGATTTTGGATGAGAGTTATATCTCTATTGTTCATTTTCAAAAAATTAGAAAATATGTGAGAAAGCATTTATGATTTATTTTAGTAGAGGTTTATATCCAAATGACAAATTGGGATCCAAAGGATTGTAATTGCTGTTGAATGAAATTACTTTTATATTGTTTACAGTTGTATTCTTTCTTGAATTTTCTTCTTTCAGAGAAGAGTTCCGGTCACAAATGCATATATGATGCATTTTGACATTTACTGCTAAGATGAAATGCAGAAATGAAACCAGACATCCATTTTAGTGTTCTCAGATGTGATTAGATGTACTTTCTCATGTTTTTATGCCACTGACTTATAAGAAAAAAATATTTTAAAAGGGTCGCAGTTTAGCAGCTAGGACCTACAACCTCAGTGCTTGTGGGATGAACTGGAAGATCACAAGGAGAAATTTTATTACACCATAATCATACCTCAGCTGAGTCCTCAGCTTAGATTCATACGCATTTCCTTCATCGGCAGTTGTCACCAGACGCTTTACATCGTAGGATGGCGGACAGTCTACCCACAGAATTTGATGTGGTTATAATAGGGACAGGTTTGCCTGAATCCATCCTTGCAGCTGCATGTTCAAGAAGTGGTCAGAGGGTTCTGCATATTGACTCAAGAAGTTACTATGGAGGAAACTGGGCTAGTTTCAGCTTTTCAGGATTGTTATCCTGGTTGAAGGAATATCAACAAAACAGTGATGTTGGGGAAGAAAGTACTGCTGCCTGGCAAGAACTGATTCATGAGACAGAAGAAGCCATCGCTCTTCGCAAGAAGGATGAAACCATTCAACACGCAGAAGTTTTTTGTTATGCCAGTCAGGATGTGGAGGACAATGTTGAAGAGATTGGTGCTCTGCAGAAAAGTCCTTCCTCAGTGGCATCTAGTACTCTCACTGAATTTCTGGATTCTGCATCCTTGCCTGAAGAAAAGCACTCATCATATTTTACTGGCTACGAAATGGCTGCCAAACACCCTCAGAAAAGTGATAGAGAGATTGCACTAGAAGTAACTGATGTAGAGGAATCGTTGGAGGAAGGAAAGGACTGCGGAGGTAAAACTTGTATATATACTGTTTCAGAGGGAGATAAAGATGAAAACAAACCTACAGCAGAAGACAACACTGATCAGCCAAAGAAAAGTAGGATTACTTACTCTCAAATAGTTAAAGAAGGCAGGAGGTTTAATATTGATTTGGTATCAAAGCTGCTGTATTCTCAAGGATTGCTAATTGATCTTTTAATCAAATCAAATGTTAGCCGTTATGCAGAATTTAAAAATGTCACTAGGATTCTTGCATTTCGGGAAGGAAAGGTAGAACAGGTGCCTTGTTCCAGAGCAGATGTCTTTAATAGCAAGGAACTCACTATGGTGGAAAAGAGGATGCTAATGAAATTTCTCACATTTTGTTTAGACTATGAACACCATCCTGATGAATACGAAGCTTTCAAGCAGTGTTCATTTTCAGAGTACTTAAAAACTAAAAAATTAACTCCCAACCTCCAACATTTTGTACTGCACTCAATTGCAATGACATCAGAATCATCTTGCACTACAATCGATGGCCTTAAAGCAACAAAAAACTTCCTTCAGTGTCTTGGACGATTTGGTAACACTCCCTTTTTATTTCCTTTATATGGCCAAGGAGAAATTCCCCAGTGTTTCTGCAGGATGTGTGCAGTTTTTGGTGGAATTTATTGTCTTCGCCATAAAGTACAATGCTTTGTAGTTGACAAAGAATCTGGACGATGTAAAGCAATTATAGATCACTTTGGTCAAAGAATAAATGCTAAATATTTTATTGTAGAGGATAGTTACCTTTCTGAGGACACCTGCTCAAATGTGCAGTATAAGCAGATCTCTAGGGCAGTGCTCATTACAGATCAGTCTGTGCTAAAGACAGATTCAGATCAGCAGATTTCCATTTTGATAGTGCCTCCAGCAGAACCAGGAGCTTGTGCCGTTCGGGTCACAGAATTATGTTCTTCAACCATGACGTGCATGAAAGACTCCTATCTGGTACATCTGACGTGTTCCTCTTCTAAAACAGCGAGAGAAGACTTAGAATCAGTGGTGAAGAAATTATTCACCCCAGATACTGAAGCAGAAATAGATAAGGAAGAACTTACAAAGCCAAGAATCTTGTGGGCTCTTTATTTTAATATGAGAGATTCCTCGGGAATCAGCCGAAGCTCATATAACGGCTTGCCTGCCAATGTGTATGTCTGCTCTGGGCCTGATAGTGGACTGGGAAACGAGCACGCGGTTAAGCAAGCTGAAACACTTTTCCGGGAGATCTTTCCGAGTGAAGAATTCTGCCCCCCACCTCCAAATCCAGAGGACATTATCTTTGATGGTGATGATAAACAATCAGACACTCCTGGAACCAATAATATAATAATGGCCAAGCCAGAATCCTCCGAGGAAAGCAAAAACCTAGAAAGCCCCGGGAAGCACCTTCAAAATTAGAAAAAAACAAACTGGAAATGCTACTTTGGGCATTCATCCTGGCATCTGAATATTCTCATTTAAAGGACAGTATCCCGTATGAGTAATTAGAAGTGGTTGTTTGATGAATTCTATGCAGATATTGTCTTTAACTCTATTTGAGACATTCAGCATTGGATGTCTTTGTTAACCTGTAACTGATTCATTGGTTATTGGACACTTTGTTTCAGAATGGTCTCCATGATCCAGAATCTTAAAACAGAATTAGCTTTATTTTAGGTATTGGGTCTATATGTGAGGGTTCCATATTAGCAACTTTGCTTAAAGGAAGATAATATTATATCTGCTAATGATCTTCAGATTTTATTATTGTCTACAGAATAATTAATAATATCTAAGGAATATTAATTACTTTTTCAGGTATTACAGTTGCTACCACCTCTGAATAGTGAAACACACACAAATAGTAAGTTATGTGTGTCTTTTGTATATAATATAAACATGTAGACATGGTGGTAGGAATAGCACCTAATACAAGTGCCAATATGATAAAATACATATATAGATGAAAAGATTGTTAAAAAATTAGCTTTGCATGATCCTTTATTCTTTGTGACAGTTTGATGTTTATAAGACATTTTGCAGTTTAATTCACCTACTTGACCCTTGTAACCGGTGAGGCAATGACACCACCACAGTCTTGCACTTTACAAGAGTTGGAGTTCAACTAGCAGTTAAAAAGCTTATTTTGGGGAGTTTTGTGCCAAAGAAAGTCTAAAGGATAGGATTAATTCTCTATTAATACTTCACCTATAAGGAAAGAACTTCCAACAAGTAACTCAGGCCAAAAGGAAAAATAAAGTGCCCCAGGAAAAGATACTTCAGAATGACTGTTGTGAAATTCCTAAGGAGAAACTGAATGAGGAATTTTTAACCTGGGATTACAGATGGTTTAAAAACCCTTTGTGAATAGGTTACCCAGCTCTCTAAGTGAGGGTGAAACCTATGTTGGCTCTACCGCTTTAGTTAGTGACGTTAACTACAACTGATAGGAGTGAATCAAAGTGGGATTTACTACATCCCTTTTGTTTTGTCTCAGCCCACAAATACTGAGGTAACCTTCATAATCACTTCTACTTCTTGGCTGCTTGTTTATTTATTTATTTATTTTTTTGAAATCCAGCCCACTCCAGAACAATACTTCCGAACCTCTTGGCTGTTTAATCTAGAGGGTTGAAACTTTTTTCTCCCGGACCCACCAGAAGCCATAAAACTGGTTGTACTCCAGTGGTGAAAACCTGCAGAGCTGTCAGAAGAGCTGAACTTCCTCTTCCTTTAGCTGTGTATCCATTTTCAGACAGAATGGTGAAGCTCTTCATGCTGGCTTTTGTCCAGTAACACAGCATTTATTTTGTGGACTTAATATCGTGCTTTCTTTTTACAGTTTCTCAACAGTCCTGTGAAGCAGATATCATAGCGTACACTTTCAAAGAGGAAATAGAGAATTATTAATAATTTGTTGAGAGTCTGGTGTGTGGAAGAGCCAACATTAGAACCCAGGCTTTCGTGATTCTAAAACCCTTGATGTTTCCCCTTATGTTCACTGTTAGAAGAATGTAGGCACGGTCGGAGAAGGGAACGGTGTCCATGAAAATCAGTCTAGCATTGCTGGGGAAGAAAAGCAGGCAGATACTGGTCTTGCAGCTTGATATTGAATCAGAGAAATGTGAATATTAAAATTAATTAAAAATATATTTTAGAGCATGGATCTCACTGAAGCAGAATTTGGCTAAGTTTTAACAAAATAATGCTCTTCAATAACATCTTTTGATCTAAAGATTGAGTTATAAAATACAGATGTTTCTAGGCCAAACTATGTTCTGAATGTAGTCTTTGTTGCTTTTCTAAAAATGAGGAAAATAGGACAGATTTAGGTAATTGACAGCTTAAAGTAGAAAAGTTGTGTATTGGCATTAATATTTACGTTTTTTGAATGTAGTAAAGTGGGAGAATCCTAGTTTAAATCTGTCAAAACAACTGAAATGCTTGAAATAGACCTATAAAATAGTAATTAAAATGAAAAGAAGTTAAGATGATAAATAAAATAGAGTTGATGGTAATCCAGATCTACTGAAAAGTTTTCCAGTATCACCGATTATTTATAAGTAATTGAGGAAAGAAACAAAAGGTGGTTTGCTTCATGTAGTGGAAATAGGAAAAAAAGTGACAGACTAGTCCAAAATAAGTGTTGGTTTAAAATCAACAAAATGAAAATATTACTTTTTTAAATAAATGCAAAATAAGTGGGAAATGAGAAGATTACAACCAATAAAAAGCACTTAAAAATTTAAGGATATTGTAATCTTGTATAATTTTTTTACAAGTTGGAATTTGACCCTAATGGGCTTATTGGTGAACTTTTTCAAATGTTCAAAGAATAAGTAATATCTGTGTATCATGAAAGACAATATGCTTCTCATTGCATTTTGAGGCAAATACTGCCTCAGTACTAAAAACCAAAACATTTTAAAAAGGGTCTTGACAGAGCAAAATGCAAAATAAAATATTGGCAGACAGTACAGCAACAAATAAAAACGATTACTGTCACTCAAGATTATAAGGCCAGTACTCAACAGAACAACCATTAAATAAACATCGATAGAACAAAAGTAAAAACCCAAAACATTAATTACAGGTAACTTTTTAAAAATTCATCATTCATCTTTGATTTAATCACCTCTGGTAATGATTTCCTAGGTTTCTTGCAGTCTGATGAATAATTACTTAAAACTAAGAAGTAATTTATTCCTATTGGGAAAACATAGAAAACATTTCTTAAGCAAAACTAAACAATGTTGGCATCATTTTTATTTATGCTGAAGAAACTTGTCATTGCAATAAAAACGAGCATTCACAAAATGAGGAAGATAAAGCAGCACAAATGTTCTCCATTAACGTGTCTTTATGACTAGACCTGTAGTATCATATAAATGTATTAACAATAAAAGACTAATTCAGAAAGTTGCAAGGATATACAGTTTTTAAAAATCTCATTTCTAGATTGTAACAGTGACAACTGCAATTTAAAGTGGATATTAATAAAGTTACGCAACTGTATTGGGATAAATTAAGAAAGATGCCTAAATAGAAGTAGGTTTCAGGAACTAAACTTTAAAAATGAGCGAACTGCTAGGAGAGACATCCTGGTGTAAGGGAAATGTAATAAATGGGGAATCCTCTGAAAACCAGAATTACAGTCCTCGCTTCATTACTCCCGTGGTATAGTCTTGAGAAAATCACTCCCGGCTTCCATTTCACCGTCCACGAAATAGAAATAATACTTCACAGAATAATTGTGAGGATTAACTTAGATAATGTTTATGAAATCACATCCAAAGGAACAGCAATGTGTGGCATTAATATGTATTAACAGATTTACTACGATTCCATTTAAAATTCCATCTGTATGCTTTATGTAATTTGAGATAATTGTGATAAATTATTTAGGAAAGTAAGCAAACAAAGGTAGTTGTATGTTTTTTTCAACTTAGAGGAGAAAACTGGAGCCTTGCCCTTCAATTCCTTGAAACATGCTGTTAAGCAACTTTTCTAAATATTCTGTGGTGCTGAGTAGAAAGTTTAACTAAAACTAATTGGAAAGAAAAATATTTAATAACTGTTGGTGGAAAGCAGCAGTTATTTAATAACATAGCTGGATATCAGTATGGAAAAAGATACTCGGTCCGCTTTACTGTGATACTACAATTTATTCCAGATGAATTAAAATGTTAAGTATAAAATAGTGATGCCAGTAGCGATACAAAGGAACTTCATGTCTATTGACGAGGTGGAACAACTAAGAGAAAAATGAAAAATGTGTGCTAAATAGGAAAAAGACAAAACAAGATGATGGAATTTTTAAAAAGCTATTTGCATTATACGTGGATAAAGTGCTTAATACCTTTTAAAAAGTGGATGCATATCCATAAAGCTTTCTACTCTTTCCTAGGCAGGTTTATAAAGGGATAGTGTACAAAGGAAAAGATACAAATAAAAATCAATTCTTAGAATCGTATTCAAATTTCCTAATACTAAAAATACAAATTGAAACAATTTTGACTTAGTTCATGCTATTATATTAGCAAAATTCTTTAAATTCTCTATGTCCTCATCCTCATAGTATTGTATATTAGTATTCTTTTTAAAGAACTATTTAGAAGACTATAAAAAGAGCTCTATAACCTATCTATCTTTTGACACGCTAACTTACTTTGAGTAGCATATGCCTAGGAAAATATTTAAAAGAAAAACTATTTGTACAAAGATGTTTCTAGCATTCCATTCATATGAGTTTAAGAAAAAAAAAAGCCCAACAACTGGGAAATGGATAAGTAAATTTTGGTGTATTGTTACTGCTATCAGACTGTTATATAGCCGTTAAACAATATTGATACATGTAAAATTGTATGTAAAAATGGTTAAGTGAGACTGAGAAATGTTCATTAGAACATAAATTACCATGTTAACTGATTATATTTGTGTAAAAATTTAGGTCTCTACATTGAAAAGAGTCAGAAGACAACATATATGTAATTAATTGCAGTTTAACATTAGGGGTTATTTTTTTCTGTAAAATATTAATGTGTGCAATAAAAAATAAAAGATTAACTGTAAAGTGGCTTACTGAATTGGTGATAAAATTACTGATTTCTTAGAAACTTCTGAAATTCTTTTTGAAATTAAAATTATACATTTCTAGATGTTAAAGTCAAAAAAGATAATCTCCAAAAATGTGTGGCAGAAAGTTTCACACATCTTGGTGGGAAGGAATTCTTGGTCAAGATGGACTTTGTGTGTTGTTTGCCCAGCATTAGGGAATAATAATAGAAATAGTAGCAATGCATCCATGACATCAGCATGAAGACATTACATACTAATTAAAGTATGGCCCTAGGTCCCAGAACACACATGACATTTTGGAGCTTCGGAGGCCAGGGAGATGAAAGTTGAATTCATAGATGTGACCAAGCCCTGTCCAGAGATGGGTTTGCAGAGAAAGCTGTGCTAAGGACACCTGTCTCAGGGAGCTGAGGTTGTGGCTGACCCTTCCTTCCAGTTAGCCTGAGAGATGCAAATCAAAGTGATTTGATTAGCAAACAACAGTTAAACACCTACTGCAGGTTATGAATTGGCATTATCCTGGGGATTAGAAATATAAAAATGAATAAGACAAGTTCTCTACCTGACAAATATTCTGCTGAAACATTTACCTTAAGGTAAGGTACCTTTTTACCTTAATGAGCACTTAAGACATTTTCTACCCATCACACGCCCACAGCTAACTAACTACTAGTACTCCTCTCCCCGCAAAAGAAAAGAAACAAAAGATAAATCTCTGCCTTGTGCATGGCCTTCCTTTTTAAAGGGTGCCAAAACTTTTTATTACACAGTTGAAAGCAAGTGGCTTAAAGGTTAAAAGCTGGATAATTTAACACTTTCTGATATCTACTTAAGCTAACTTTCAGTTAAGTTTCTCACATTAATCGGAAGCTTTCTCTCTTGCCTGGGGAAGGATCCAAGAGGGGGTCCTAGAGAGGAGGTCCAGAAGCCCAAGGCACTGAGGGTTTAAGGAGGAGGAAGTGTAAAGAAATCAAAGTGAGAGAAGCAGGTGATAAGCTTCAAGACCAAGAAATTCTGATTAGGATTAATCTTACTTTCCTTCATCTTGGTGGATCAAGTCGAAGTCGTGCTCCTGTTGCACTGAGGTAGCTGCTTCCTCTTTGAAGATTTTTAAATTTTTATTTTAGTATTTTTAATTTTTACCTTCATTATAAAGAGGGATTGTTTCCAGTATAGTTCTTCTCCTTTTTTTTTTTTAACCAACAACCAAATCTATTCACATTGTCAACAGCAGGGGATGCAGGAACTCCAGCTTTCTATAAGGTATGGACAACAGTACAGAGGCTGAATGATTCCACTGAAAGAATTTGTAACTTGAATATTATGACAGCAGTTTTGCTACAGCATCCGTAGGAATGCTTTTCTCCTGACAGCTACGTTTTCATATGTGATCCTCAGGATAACTATGTAAGGTAAGAGAGGGCAGGTATTTGTACCCATTTTGTAGATAAGACCTGGAGGAATTAAGCGACTTGTCTGAACTCACTCCCAGTAAGTATTTAGATCCATTAATAAGAATTGAAATGCTGCTGTTCCGCTTTGCCTCCCTTTCAAGAGAATGATTTATTGCATGTAGGAGTGTATAACACATAAATCATTATTTAAAAAGTGGTGGCTTCTAAAATTTCAGAGTACATTTACTTTTCAGCAAATAACAAAATAATCCTATAAATTAAAACGAGTAATTAAGGTGGGTTTGAAAAAAGAGAAGGGAGTTGATTATTTAAACGCCTAAAATTAAAACAAACTATCCTGATATTTATGCCAGGAGCTTTATTTCTTTATATGTAGTATCTTTATTAGTTCCTGCTTTTGTCCTATGGTTTTGACATTTGCTTGTTGCTATATATGTATTTAACCCTAATACACTCTGCGAACAACTGTTTAATATTGATAAAGGCATACACATGAGAATGACTTTGGATTCAGAGGTGCAGGATTGACAAAGTGTAGCAGGAAGATGAATACCTATTTCTAGCTCAGTCAGGAGGAGATAACATCTTTGAGCATTTTATAGTTTTAAAGAAATAAAATCCTTGGGGATG